CCCCCCCCCCCCCCCCCCCCCCTCCGGGAAGGAGGTGGTCCCGCGGGGGCCCCGCGGGGAGCCACGGGCGGGCGGGGCGGGCGGGCGCTCTCTCGAGGGGAGGAAGCACCACCCGGACCGGACCAGTGGCGTTTACGAAACGGCCTCGGGCGTGTACGGAACAGCCCTGCCTTTCGGGCGAAGAGAACTTGTGCACATGCAGCGATCCTGGCAGGGCCCATCCTTGACCCAGGATCGGTGCATATGCCTTCCTGGCCAAGGTAGGAGGGCGTATGCACCGATCATGGGCTCAGGATGGGCCTGGCCAGAATCGGTGCATGTGCATAGTTCTCATTCCTCTAGCCCTGCTCGTCACCACCCACCAAACCACCCCAATCCAACCCGAAGGCTCAGATTTGCCCTCGATTTCCAGTGGGGGGGGGGTCGGGAGGCATCGCAAAAACACATGTGTAACCATTAACCCCCCCAACCCGAAATTTGGGTCTTCGGGTGGGTTGGGGTTGTTCTGGTAGGTAGTCAGTTCGATTCCTTGAATGGGCGCGTTTGCCAAAAGGTCTTGCTTGTCGGGGTGGAGGAGGAGGAGGAGGAGGAGGAGGAGGAGGAGGAGGAGGAGGAGGAGGAGGAGGAGGAGGAGGAGGAGGAGGAGGAGGAGGAGGAGCGAGGAGAGCGAGGAGGAGCGAGGAGGAGGAGGAGGAGGAGGAGGAGGAGGAGGAGGAGGAGGGGATGGATGTCTTGCCCTCGACGCTCGAAGCGCGCCGGGTGGCGCGGAGGCACGCGCTGGGGTGCGGTCTCGCTGGGAGTGCAGCGGTCGAGAGGCCGGCATGCGGAGCATGCGGACGAGAGACGGTGCAGCGTGAGTCTCGGCTCAAGTCGGGCCTGTCCCCCTACAGGGGGAATTTCGACGACAAATAAAAAATACCCCAAAAATACGCCAAAAAGGTCAAACGATACCCCAAACATAGTCCCTGGACTATTTTGGGACAATTTGTTTGATTATTTTTGGGATATTTTCAATTTTTTCGTCGAAATTCTCCCTGTAGAGGGACAGGCCCGACTTAAGTCTAGGCTTAAGTCGGGCCTGTCCCTCTACAGGGGGAGTATCCAGAACAGTCAAAGCATAGTATGGGACGATTTTTTTTGTTTTTTTATTTTTATTGTTTTTGACCATCCTTGAGTATTGTTTGGCTGTGTTTTCAATTTGTCGCCCAAAATCCGCCTGTAGGGGGACATGCCCGACCTAAGTCTAGGCCTCCTGGATGGGTCGGAGTAGACGGGGTCGAAGGATCGCGCCGCATCGCCGCTGCATCGCCGATGCGGCTCGATGCGGAGCCCGATTAGCTTCACGCCGACGTCGCCTATGCATCTTCGACGTCGAAGCTGCATCACCGGTGCATCGCCGATGCATCGCCCATGCATCGCCGACGTATCGGCGATGCAGCGCGATCCAGCGCGATCCTGCGACCCCGTCTACTCCGACCCCGTGTAGGAGGCCTCGAAAAAAAAGGCGTGACGCAATCAGGCAAGCAGACAGGGACGGACGCAGCAATCAAGGGACGAGGGTTCCCCAAAGAATGGGCAACCTTCGCCGAAGAAGAACAAGCAGCATACACATAAACTTTTGGCGCCCCGCGCGGATTTCTTAGGCCTGCGCTGGGGCCCCCCGGCGGCGGGGGGGTCCCGTCCAGCGCAGATGCAAGAAATCCGCGCGGAGCGCCAGAAGTTTAGGTTTATGGCCTTTTCTCTTCGTCTACTTCGGGATGCCGGGTTTCGAGAGCCCTGCCTCCGGCCCCGCCGAGCCGGGGCGCTTGTTCAAAAGGAGGGCCTGGGGCGGGGCAGGGGGGAGTCGTGCGAAGCAGTTCCCCAGCGTCTGCTGCATATTTTTCCCCCGAAGCAGCACAGCCAACCCGCATAGTAAGGACAGGCGACCTTCTCAAGGGTGCCCCCGCCTCCCTGCCTCCCCGGTCCATCCCTGGCGGCGCCCCGCTCCACCGTGCCAACATGGCCTCCCAGGGCCCTGGCATCCTCATCGCGCTCCTTGTGGCACGGGTTTCAGGAGGGGAAAAAACACACAGACACAATTAATCGTCGATTCCCCAGAAAATATCGGGAAAAAAAGGGAAGTGGGGGGGAAAACAAAAACCCAGAAAATATGCGAAAATATGGGGGATATTTTTATTTGTGTGTATTTATTTGTGTGTCCCAGGGCCCCTTCAGGGTTGCCTGCATGTCTTGTCGTGTTCGAGCCGCGCCGCGTCGTCGCTCAGCTCGGGCCACCGCGCTTCCGGGCGGCGGCGCCGGCGGCGGCGCGGCAGGACGGGCTTCCCGCCGGGGTGACGTCCCTGATGCTGCGCAACCTGCCCCGCGCGCTGACCCAGCGGCAGCTCCTCGACGAGGTCCTCTCGAGCGGGCTCCTCCACTTACTCCAGATTGCGTAATAAAAGGGAGGGGGTCTGGACCCTCCAAGACAAGCCATTTCAGACCTCCCCCGTGGGAGAACCCTCCAAAACATCGTCCCCAGACCCCCCAGGCCCTCCAAGATAGCCGGGAAGAGACCCCCCCCGAAATGAGACCCCCCTCCCTTCATTACAAAATCTGGAGTACCTTCCGGGGCGGCCTGACCGACTCCTAGCAAACCATCCCCTTCGGTGACGTCCCCCTCGCCGCGCCCCAAGACGTGCGTATGCGGTTGGAGGGGAGTTCGTGAGGCGAGGATGACGTCACGGAAGGGGATGGTTTAGTAGGGTTCGGTTAGGCCGCGCACGATAGTTTGCTGGAGGTCCAATCAATACAACTGAGATCCCTGAGAGTAGATTCCAATCGAGGCTTGAAGCAGTCCATAATGAGGTCAGCAGGTCTGGAGTTTTGTTAAGCACTCCGGAACGTCCGAACGCGGGGCGTTTTCGCCCAGTTTCGGGCCCGGGGGCATTTGCGGACCGATCTAGCTCGGGAAATGCCGCGGAACGACCGGGGCAGGAGCTCTGGTAGTATATAATTATTTTTGTTTTGAGACTTCGGATCTCAGTTCGGAAACCAGATCATTTACATTTTCAGAAGCGGGCGGTTTTTTTCATCCCAAGATTTTTTAGGGTCGGGACGACGTCGTGGTGGTGTGGTGTATATTTTTCCCCGCCTTCCCGGGGAAACAACCAAACCTGTATACACCAGGATGCCGTATACACCAAGATCCGCTTTCCTTCTGCGAATTTGGAAAAAAGCGTCGGTGTATAGAGTTCGGCTTTTAGTTAACCCGCATCTTAAGGATGGGCAATCTTCCCAAGGGTACCCTTGCAGCCTTGCCTCCTCGGTCCATCCCTTGGCCACTTTCGTTGGCCTCGCCCCGCTCGAGAAGCTCCGACATGGCCCTCCAAGGCCCTTGCATCCTTATCGTGCACCCTTATGATACGGATCGGCTGTATCCAGTGTCCGTGCAGGAAAACACACTGCATCAACATACCCGTTCTGAGGTCCGCGCGGGTTCCCTGGTTCGGCGCTGGGTCCCCTGGCGGCGCCTCCGGGGTTGACCCTGGCGCGTGGCGTGGAAGGGGTCTATAGCGCCGATCCAGGAAACCTCGCAGGCCTAGCGGTTAGCTCGGCGGCGAGCGAGGGGGGGAAGCGAGAAGAAGCAGGCCTTCTCAGAAGGCAGCGGGACTTCTCAAAAACCCTCGCGCCTTCTGGGAAGTTTTCGGAGTCTTCGGGGAAGGCTGCGAAAGCTTCTCAGAAGGCCGGGGGGCTTCCGAAACTTCAGGGGGGCGGCCTTCTCCTTCTCACAGCCCCCCCTCACTCGCCGCCGATGAGCACCAATACACGTATCGGCGGCGTGTCTCCACCGAGGGAAGGTGGTCCAGATCTCGGTGATGGCGGTAATATTCAGGTTTCCCAGGTGGCCGAAATATGACCACCAACGCGAGAGTCTAGGCCTCTTAGATGGGATCGCTCCGCATCGCCGAAACATCGACGATGTTGCTCGATGTGGCGTGTTTCGCCATGCCGACGGTGCCGATGCACCGCCCACGTCGCCGATGCATCGCCGGTGCATCGCCGATGCATCGCCGATACATTGCCGATGCATCGGCGATGTATCGGCGATGCGTCGTGGTCCTCCGACCCCATCTACTCCGACCCCTTTGAGGAGACCTCTAGAGAGTCCAGGATCATCTCTCCCCCGGTGGAGGCAACCCTCTGGATTGGTGCTGGCGCCCATGTCCAGGCATCCAGGAATCTGCGCGGCCATCGGAAAGTCCATTGTTTTGCCGAGTTTTCTTTTTCCAGCCCTGCCTTCCTCTCGCGGCTGCTGCTGCTCCTCTTTGACTCTCCCTCCGTGATTACACTATAGTGGAGGCACATGTCAAGAAACACCTTGCCTGCCTCCAGGGTGCCCTGGGTTTCTTGGGTTTCGATGGTTTTGCGATAGGAAGCGTGACGTTCTCACATCCTAAGTCAGTGGACGTCCTGGGGTCTCAGGGTTGGGTTTCTTGTGGAAGGTGTCTTGTGGACTGGCCTCTACTGTCTGGAAGCCACTCCTCTCTCCCCCGACTCTGTCCAGACGATGCCCAGCCTTCTCCGCGCATAGCTCTTTTACACAGGACTTCGAGCAGTAGTCATTACTATGTTTTTCCACTCCGATTGTCTTCAGTGTTTCGAAATGGTGCTTCAGCTGCAGCGTTGGCCTCATTTTCGCGTCGGTGCTTTGCTCCCGTCTTTCAGACTTGCACTCTCGCCCCAGCGGCGCGGGCAATTCTTCTGGATCCTCGTCCTTTCTCATCGTTGTCGCCCCCTCATTTCCCCGTCTCTGCCTTCTCATGATCCTCCTGCTCCTCCCGCTCCTTCCACTCCAGCTCCTGCTGTCAGGTCTCGGACCCACATGCCCCACAGGCCCCACAGTTCCAGGAAGTTTCGCAGGCCCCGCAAGTGCCTCAGGCCCCACTGATCCCACATAACACACATGTCCTACACGTCCCCCAGGTCCCACAGATTCCACAGGCCCAGCGGGTCGCACAGGGCCCACAGGTCCCACATGTTCCACAGGTCTCACAGGTCCCACAGGTCGCACGGGCCACAGGTCCCGCGGGTCCCACAGGTCTGACGGGTCCCACCGGTCACAATTCCCATGGGATCCGCATATCTTGCAGGTCGCACAGGTCCCACAGGCCCCACAGGCCCCACAGGCCCCACGGGTCTCACAGGTCTCTCATGTCTAACAGGCCGCACAAGTCCCGCATTTCCGACAGATCCCACAAGTCCCACAGGGCTCGCAGGCCTCTCTGGTCCCGCAGGTCCCACAAGTCGAGGCCCCGCAGGCCCCACAGCTCCAGCAGGGCTCGTTGGTCTCGGAGGCCCGACAAGTCTCAGAGGTCTTACAGGCCCCAGAGGGCTCGGGGGTCTCGTGAGTCCCGCAGGTCCCGCAGGTCCCGCAGGTCCCGCAGGTCCCGCATGTCCCGCAGGTCCCACAGGTTTCACAGCTCCAACTGGTCCAGCCGGCCTCGATGCTCCCACATGTCCTGCGGGTTCCACGGATCTCTCATTGTCACCTTTGCTGCTATCGAGGTGCTTTTGCCAGGGTACGTTTACAAGGACTGGGCGCACGCAGTGGCTTGAGTTGCGCGCAGGGCCGAACGGGCCATGAGCGCAAGTGCGAAACGCTGCCCCACACATGCGGAATTTCGCCCGTCCTTTTATATACATGTATATATATATATATATATATGAATTGGCGGAGGCGGCGGTTTCCATCGTGGTCATGGTCCACTTGCGGCCGAAGGTCGCCTGCCTCTCGGCGGCCGCTGCCGGTGTGGGACGATGTTCGCTGCTGGGTTTCGTACTGGGCGTCGTATGCGCTGCTTTAACGTACCCATGTCGGGCGTTCAAAGATGATCAGGAGTCGGGTGGCGGAAGGCATCTTACATGAGCCCACGTAGTTTCGGATAAGAGTGAAGGGGTGCTTGTAGTCCGTTCGCACTCGATCAGCGCGCCGCGTTGCGTACCCAATCAGCTTGCCGGAGTAGCACGCCAGAGTGGCGCGCCCGAGTAGCGCGCCCGATGAGCGTGTCCGACTTCCGTGCCCGATTGGCGCGCCGGCCCTCGTTTCGAGACTCCGTTGCAGTCACGCGCGCGCAGGGACATCATAAAACCGTTCGGGCACCTCACTCCAACGCGTACGCGTCGTTTTCCCCTGAGCAGCGAACGCGATCGGGGTCCCGTTGGCTCGTGCCGTGCGCGCGTCTCGCCGTGCCCGCGCTCCAGACCGCGAACAGTGTTCGCGGATTTGGGGATCTTGTCGCCGCCGACAGCCTTGCCACACCATACATGTCAACTGCATCCTAGAGCGCGGCCTTGCATCAACCCTGGTTCGGATCGTTGGGGATCCAGTCGCATGTGTGCACATGCGTTGCACCGTTGGTGGTGCCAAAACCCTTTGTGTGAAATTCCTTTGTGTGTTTTTTCCGGCTCCTAAACACGTGCCGACGGCGTGCCGTGGCGTGCCCTGCACTGCTGCGCCGCCCGACTGCCGCCCGCGTGCGCCCGCGTGCAGTGCCGGCTCCTGCGCTCTACAGCTGGGCACTCACCACCCACCAAACCACCCCAACCCAACCCGAAGGCTCAGATTTACCCTCGATTTCTAGTGGGGGGTGGTCGGGAAACATAGAAAAAACACGCGTGGAACCCTAACCCCCCCCTCCCCGAAATTTGGGTCTTCGGGTTGGGTTGGGGTGGTCTGGTAGGTGGTCAGGCACCGCGCCGCCCGCGTGCGGTGCCCTGCCGCGCCGCGCCGTGCCGTGCGGCCTGCCTTGCCGCGCCTCGTGCCGTGCCGTGCCGCGCCGTGCGCCCGCGCGCCGGTGCGGCTTCTGCGCTTCACCTGAGAGTGACTGCTCCAGATTTCGTAATGAACGGGCGACAAAGAAGGGCCTCTTGTGCAGAACGGAGCGGCGACCCTGCGTGATGTGCTACTCGGGCAGCTCACGCGGCGGCGCACGTGAAGAGTAAAGGCGCTCGCGCGCGACCCTGCGCGGGCGGCCGTCGACGTCGTTCGAATGCTGCCTTTCGAAGTCTGTGTGTGGATACTGGTGCGCACAGGCGTCGCGCGCGTTCCTACTCCAGATTTCGTAATAAAAGGGAGGGGGTCTGGACCCTCCAAGACAAGCCATTTCAGACCTCCCCCGTGGGAGAAGCCTCCAAAACATCGTCCCCAGACCCCCCCAGGCCCTCCAAGATGGCCTGGAAGAGACCCCCCCGAAATGAGACCCCCCTCCCTTTATTACGAAATCTGGAGTACGTTTGCATTCGTCACGCATCTTTGTTATTGTCCGTTGTGGTCTCACTGTGTGCTGAATTTGTTTCACTGCTATTTGCATTTGTTGGGCGCCTCGGCCCCACCCTGCAGCACCCTCGCGGTGCATGAAGCAGGCCGAGTCCGAGTCCGACCCGAAAGTGGCTCGGGGGCCCCCAAACGGGGTGGTGACCACGCCGTGTGGTGAGTCGGTGGGGCTTCGGGGTCACCTCACGGTTTTGGGGCTCGGGCCGTTTTCCGAGGACGTCTCGGGCGATTGGAGCCTCCGAGGTCCCAAAACCGTGCGGTGAGGTCTTGGGGGATTTCGAGGTCACCGCACGGTCGCACCGTTTCGGGACTCCAAAGTGACTCCCCAATCAGTGTTTGCCCTAGCGGAACTTGACGGATGTGGCAAAAGGTTTCGCCGATTTTGGTGGCAGGCTGGCTTCCCGGATTCCGGGTTCCGGGTTCCCGGGTTATTGGCTATTGGTTCCGGCCCGATTTCGGTGGGTTCAGGGTTCCCGGGTTCCCTGTCGACCTCTTTTATCGAAAACTTTCCATTGATTGGGTTTTCTTTGGTGCATTTCTTCATGAATGATACGTGTGTGTGTATATATATATATAGATAGGCATCTTGTAAAGATAGGTCGAGGCGGGTGTCTGCAAGGGGTATCGGTACTGAATGCAGCGCGCCATGCCTGCGCGAAATGCCTCCATCGTCGCGATCATGATCTTGAGTCAGGGCCCCTGCGCAGGCCCTCCTGGAGCTATTTTGGGTGTGGCGCGCCAGCGGGTGCACAGCTGCCGCTTGGGCATCTTTCCCTCCCGCTCCCCGCCTCCTCGCCCTCCCTGCGCTCGTCGTCCTGCTTCTGCTCCTTCTGCTGCCCGAGGTCCACAGCTCCGGCTTCGCCGGCAAGTGCGACTTCTGCTACGTGCCTCGTGACTTCACCTCGGGCCAGAACAGGGGTCAGGCCTTCGTCAACTTCAGCTCGCCCGAGGTGCGCGGGTTCGCCGCTGCCTCGCCCGCGGGCCTCCCGGTGCCTCTCGTTCATCAGGGGCCCACTTCTGGTCCTTCACTCGTCATCCTCGTCCTTCTTTCGTCGTCATCCTCGTCCTCCTTCGTCGTCGTCATCCTCGTCCTTCTCACTCGTCATCATTCAACTCGTCAGACACCTCGAACGGTAGGAGCGCGTGCGACGCCTGTGCGCCCACAGACTTCGAAGGGCAGCATTCGAACGACGTCGACGGCTGCCCGCGCAGGGTCGCGCGTGCGCGCCTCTATAATCTTCACGCGCGCCGCCGCGTCAGCTGCCCGAGTAGCACATCACGCAGGGTCGCCGTTGCGTTTTGCACGAGACGCCCTTCCCTGTCGCCCGTTTTGATGAGCAGCCGAGCCCGTGACGTGGTAGTCCCCTTCTCACAGGTTCGCTTCGCGAGTCGTCCGGGGCCAACCCTGACGGATCTGTTCGACCTCTGACTCGAATCTAGTTCGACTCTGCGTCGATCCAGGTTCGACTGAAGTCGACGGACGTTTGCCCTAGTTCGACTCTAGTTCGACCCTAGTTCGGCTCCAGTCGACTCCCGTTCGTATCTGCTTCGACTCCCAGCTCGACTCAGTCTACGTCCTCTGACCCCCCTCGCCCCGCGCACGTGCCTCTAGTCATGATGCGCGAGCCCCCATCGTCCTGGCCCCCTCTTCCCCTGACCTTCCAGAGAGCTATTCTTTAAGCACGGGAGGCCTGAAAACCTAAAACACGAAACGAAACAGCCTGAAACCAAGACATATAACAGCTCTGGGATAGGTCTTTAAGTCGCGTGCTATCTTTAAGCCCGCCTGGAAGGTCAGGGCCGTTGCCCCCAGGCCTCTCCGGGTGCGTGCCCTGGCCAGGACGCCGAGGAGGCCCCCGACCGCGGCGAGGAGAGGCGCCCTGGCAGCCCGGCGTAGCTGGCGAGCTACGCCCCCCCCGGAGACCCTTGAGATCTGACGCCGCGACGCCATCTGCAGCAGCGTGTCTCTAGGCCTCCTATAGATTGGGTCGGAGTACTCCAGATTTCGTAATAAAAGGGAGGGGGTCTGGACCCTCCAAGACAAGCCATTTCAGACCCCCCCAGTGGGAGAAGCCTCCAAAACATCGTCCCCAGACCCCCCCAGGCCCTCCAAGATAGCCTGGAAGAGACCCCCCCCGAAATGAGACCCCCCTCCCTTTATTACGAAATCTGGGGTACATGGGGTCGGAGCATTGCGCCGCATCGCCGATGCATCGCCGATGCGGCTCGATGTGCAGCCCGATCTGCGTCACGCCGACGTCGCCGATGCATCGCCAACGTCGACGATGCATCGCCGATGCATCGACGATGTATCGCCGATGTATCGGCGATTCGGCGCGATCCTCCGACCCCATCTACTCCGACCCCATCTAGGAGGCCTCTAGTGTCTGGGTCTCCGGGACTGGCTGGCGCGGGCTGGGGCCCCGCCGCACTTGCCGGAGCCGCGCCGTGCAGCGCAGGATCGTGGAGGCGCCTCCGCAGGATGTGTGCTGTATGCGGTTGTGCGTGCGAGCGTGTATCCGTTACGTATTCCACAGCCGCCGAGGATGGAGTCTGGATGTCTGTCGCCGTGTCGTAGAGCCAGGCAGATTGTAAAACCACTGCGCAACCCAGGGCTAAGAGCGATTCCGCCAGTCCGACTAGATGCCGAGCTCACTCGGCTCGATCTAGTGCGGATGCGATTCAGAGGCGATCCGATGTGATGCGATGCGGCCCGAGCTTGCCAATATTGTATGTATCCTGGCGCGGCCGATTGGATCCGATTCTGGCCCCGGGCCGATGCTGCCCGATCCGGCGCGCGTTCCCATCCGATCCGCTTCGATCCGATCTCCCGATGCCGATGCTGGTCGAGTCCGGACGGGGTGGGCGAGAGAGGATCGGCCCGCATTTGCTCCCTGCCTCAGATGCCCAGCGGTTGTGGTCCCAGGCTCGACTAGACGTAAGAGTGACCTTTTGCTGGAGTGACCTTTGGTGCGGGCGCAGATGGGTCCCCAGATGGCTGAGAACGAAGCAGTAGCAGCGGCTTGCGCGTCCAGGTTCTAGTCCCCCAGCGGCCCCCCAAAAGTCGCGCACCAAAGGTCACTTCTTACCCAGGGTCACTCTTGCGTGTAGCCGACTTAGTTCCCGGCCTCAGATGCCCAGCGGTTGTGGTCGGGGGCGGAAAAGAGGGGGGTGATGACTAGGGGGGGGTGGATATCATGGCGGGGGCCATGATATTTCCCCAGATTTCATGGCGCCTCTTCTTATTTCATTACGTCCCTGGCCCCCCCGCTGGGCCGCGCACATGCCGCCGGTCATGATTTGCACCCCCCCTTCTTGGACACCCCCCTCTTGGCCGCTCCCGATTGTGGTCCCAGGCGCCCGCCGCCGGGCCCACCCAGCTCCTCCCGAGCCAGACAGCTATGGCTCCCCCAGCGCGCGTGCCGCGCCGACAGGCCGGCCGTGGAGACGTCCCAGATCGTCGCAGTCGTTGGCGTCGTCGCCGTCGTCGGCGTCGGAGTCGTCGTCGTTGGCGGCGTCGCCGTCGTCGGCGTCGGAGTCGTCGTCGTCGGCGTCGTCGGCGTCGTCGTCGGCGTCGTCGTCGTCGGCGGCGGCGGCGGCGTGGGCGTCGCCGTCGTCGTCGTCGTCGGCGTCGTCGTCGGCGTCGTCGGCGTCGTCGTCGGCGTCGTCGTCGTCGGCGGCGGCGGCGGCGTGGGCGGCGGCGGCGTCGTCGGCGTCGTCGGCCTCGGCGTCGTCGTCGTCGTCGTCGTCGTCGGCGGCGGCGGCGGCGGCGGCGTTGCCGTCGGCGTCGACGGCCTCGGCGTCGTCGGCGGCGGCGGCGGCGGCCCGCCTGCGCTGAGGTGGCCACGGAGTTCCGCCGGGCGTGGCGCGGGCGCACGGCCTGTGCGGGCCAAGGCCGCGGCGGCGGCGGCCCGCCACGGGGAGCGCTCGGGGGGCGCTCGGGGTGGGGCCGAGCTGGGCCAGGCTTAGACCTGGGCTTCGGCTGGCGACGTCCAAGGATGGGGAAGTTCCGGGTTCGAGGTTCAGGGTTTTCCGGCGTGTGCGTCGGTGTTCTACGGTTTTCCTGCCCTGGATGTGTTCCAGCGGCTGCGCCTCGGCGAGAGCGTTCCGGGGGTGCCGGGATCGTCCCGAACGGCCGCATGAGACCCGAGCTATAACGCAAAAACCAGATTCGGCGGTGCGCCCGGGGGGAAGAGGCCTTCTCAGAAGGCGGCGGGGCTTCTCAGAAGCCCTCGCGCCTTCTGAGAGTTTTGCTGAAGTCCGGCGGACTTCCGAGCCCTCTGAGAAGGCCTTCTCCATCTCGGTTCCCTCGATCGCCGCCTAGTGGAGGGTTCGACGACCAGGATTGTGTGGATGTCATGCTTCGGCTCTGTCTTCTCCTGTCTCTGCACGTCTCGCCGTGCCCCGGTTCGCTCCCGGCGCGTCCCGCCCGCAGCCCGACCGGCGCCTGCTCCTGCTTCGGCTCGCGCGCGCCCGCTGAAAATCTGTGGATCTCTTGGCCGGGGCCGTGACTTCCCCAGGCCTTATGGCGCCTCTTCTTCTTGCAGTGCCTCCCCTGGTGCCCCCTCGGTCCGCGCTCCTGCCTTGGGCCATGCTTTGCGACCCGCCCTTTTCGACGCTTCCCCTTGGACACCCCCGCCTCGGGGGCGGTGTACGTTCGGGGGGGCCGAGACGTGTACGGAGACAGCTGGTGCGAAGAACACCAGCATCGGGCCGGGCGAAAGGGGGGGATTGGGCAAGGGGGGTGTGCAAAATTTGCTGCATGCAGCTGGTTTCGGCCTCGCCGAGGGGCCCATTCTTCGATACCCAGCCGCTTCCGGCGCCGGGAGGCGCCCGGAAAATCGGCTACGTGAGCTGATTCTCAAACCCCCCCTTTGCTATCCCCCCCTTTCGCCCGACCCGAATTTGGTGCGCAGAACGCCAGCAGTGCCTGCTTATTCTGAACAGGAACCGCTGCCGGTGTCGCCGCGGACGCTGTCCATTCGAGACAGCAGAACGCCGCCTGCCCAACATCGGCCGCTGCCGGTTTTGGTCAACACTCGCTGTTCGGCATCGCACCAATTTTCAGAGCGTGAATTACCTACCACGCTTTCGCTTCCAGGCAAAACCAAGTCATACCACGCGCCTTCTCGTCAAGCGGCCTGACCAGTACAGGCCGTAGTTTGGCATCGCTTGGTATCTCTTGGAAGCGAGGGTGGTCAAAAGCGAGGTAGGTTTGTTTGCCCCCCAAATGTGTTCCGTACCGATGTCGGGCGCCCCAGATTTCCAGGGGCAGCGTGAGGCGGTGGTAAACTCAAGGGGGTTCTTCTCGACACCCGAAGGCGGCCCGAAGGCCCACCCCACCCGAAGACTCTACGCGTAAGAGTGGCCTTTCGCTGGAAGAGGAGGAGGAGGAGGAGGAGGAGGAGGAGGAGGAGGAGGAGGAGGAGGAGAAGGAGGAGGAGGAGGAGGAGGAGCCCACAGGGGTCCCTCCTGCATCGGCTTGCGCGCTTGGGACCAGGCTTCTCCGCGGCCCACGGTCACTCTTGCCTCGGGCCACTCTTGCGTGTGGCCGATGCCCCCCGTTTCGGGCGTCAAGTTCTCTGCAAGTGTCCGCTGCCCCGGCCGGGCCCTTCATCGGCCCAGCAGCCGTGGCGACGCCTGCAGCTCTGCCCCCGGCGCGCCCCCATTTCAGGAGGGAAAGAAACACACAGACACAATTCACCGTCGATTCCCCAGAAAATATAGGGAAAAACGGGAAATGGGGGGGGGAAGACAACAAAACACCCAAATATGAGGAAATATGGGGAACATTTTGATTCGTGTGTATCTATTTGTGTGTCCTGGGGCCCCTTCACTGTTGCTCGACAGGGAGGGGGGGGTCGGAGCCGACCCTGATCCCGCGCGGACCTCCGCAAGCTGGTGCTTCCGCGGAAGCCGCCGGAGGGCCATCCGTGCTCCGGCTCTCCGGCCAACCCGCGCAGTAAGGATAGGCAAGCTTCCGAAGGGTACGCGCCGGTCGTTGAGAGGAGGCCACAAACACTCCGTGCCGCCGCCGCTGCCACAAAGTGAGGAGTTGGCCATCAAGCGGTCGCGACCCTTTGGCTAGGGGAATGAACAATGACGTAAGCAGACGAACTCGGAGGCCCGCGCGGATTTCTCGGATCCCCGCTGGACCGCCCTCCCTGGCGCGCGGAGCGCGCCAGGGGCGGCGCCGGAGGCGCCGCCAGGGGGATCCAGCGCGGATCTGAATTGAGCGTGGCACAGCACTGTTACTGTTACACGCCGGTCGTTGAAGTAGGTATTTTTTGGGGGGGCCTGAACCCAATCGACTTAATCCGCCTTCCTACTTCATGCTCTTACCTGCTTCTTCCGGCCGACGTGTACCCTTGCACCCTTGCCTCCTCAATCCGTCCTTGGCCATTTTCGTTGGCCGCGCCCCGCTCGAAAAGCTTCAAAATTGGCGTCCGAGGCCTTTACACATACTTATCGCGCCTCCTTATCATACGGGCCGACTGATTGCAGCAGCGGTGGTGCATCATCGGACCGTGTGAAGACCTGGGTGCCCGGGCTGTCCCTCTCCAGGCCGCCGAAGGGGCGCCTGAGCAGATGGGGCCGGAGGACCGCGCCGCATCTCGCTCGATCCGTTCTCCATCCCGGTCTCGCCAATGCATCGCCGATGCACCGGCGATGCGGCGCCGCCCTCCTCCTCCTCCTCCGCCTCCTCCGCCTCCTCCGCCCCCTCCTCCTCCTCCTCCTCCTCCTCCTCCTCCTCCTCCTCTTCTTCCTCCTCCTCCTCCTCCTCCTCCTCCTCCTCCCCTTCCTCCCTCCTCTTCCGTCCTACCACGGGTCCCATTCGGGTGGCTGGGGCCACTACGACAGCGGCGGTGGACCATGGGGGCCGTGACAGTGCGCGTGTGGCGTGTGCGCGTATGTCTGTCTGTCTGTCTGTCTGGTCTGTCTGGTCTGTCTGTCTGTCTGTCTGTCGGTCTGTCTGTCTGTCTGTCTGTCTGTCTGTCTGTACTGTCTGTCCTATCTGTATGCATGCATGCATGTATGTATGTATGTATGTATGTATGTATGTATGTATGTATGGTTGTATGTATGTATGAATGAATGCATGCATGCATCTATACATGTATGCATGAATGTATGTATGCATATATGCATATATGCATGTATGCATGTATGCATATATGCATGTATGCATGTATGCATGTATGCATGTATGTATGTATGTATGTATGTATGTATGTATGTATGTATTTCTGTATGTGTGTGTATGTCTGAATGTATGTATATGTATGTAATGTAATGTAATGTAATATAATGTAATGTAATGTAATGTAACGTAATGTAATGCAATGCAATGTAATGTCATGCAATGTAATGTAATGTAATGTAATGTAATGTAATGTAATGCAATGCAATGTAATGTATGTATGTATGTATGTATGCACGTACGTATGTATGTATGTATGTATGTATGCATGTGTGTATGTCTGTCTGTCTGTATGTATGTATGGATGGATGCATGCATGCATGCATGCATGCAGGGAGGTAGGTAGGTAGGTAGGTAGGTAGGTAGGTAGGTAGGTAGGTAGGTAGGTAGGTAGGTATGTGTGTGTGTCTGCATGTATGCATGTCTGTCTGTCTGTCTGTCTGTCTGTCTGTATGTATGTATGTATGTATGTATGTATGTATGTAGGTATGTGTGTGTGTGTGTGTGTGTGCTTGGGCCGTCCGTGGGCCCACAGCTAGGGCCTGCCTGGTCGCTCGTTCTCCGGCCTCCGTCCCGGAGGAAGGAGTGCCGGAGGGACAATCGGGAGCGACATAGTGACGTACACGTACACGAGTCCACGCTGGTTTCGAGAGTACGCATTGCGCAAATGTTCGTATAACGCGGCCTGTCTGGCGGATCGAGGGGCCGTGTTCATGTACATAGCTGGGCGCGTACGTCCTTTGTGGGCTCCGTAGATACGAAGCGACGCCCACCACCCGCGGATCACCCTCGGCCAGGAGGTCCACGATGCCCCCCCTCACTAACTCAAAACAGACGCCCAATCCCAAAAACGCGAGGGCCAAGACGAAACGCAGGCTCCTCGAGACTTCGGGGAGGGAGGTTTTTGGGTAGGGTTTTACCAGGGTGAACGACGAACGCAAAACATACCCCGAAATGCTCGGCCGATCTTCGAATCCTCGGTGAATCCGCGATTTTGGGATTGGGGATGTGTTTTTTCTGGGTCACCCCCTCCACCCCCGCTGCGTTGCCATGTGGGACCTGCCTGCTGCGATGCACGTGCCAGCAGACTGCCAGCAGAGTCCCCGGTCACGACGGCTCGACGACACCTGCTCGGCAGGGCGGAGCCGCCCCGAAGACCGGGGCGGGGAGGAGCTTGCTTGCGATAGCGAGATGCGGAGGCACACGGAGCCCATGTATCACCACCCACCAAACCACCCCAACGCAACCCGAAGGTCTCGATTTGCCCTCCATTTCCAGTTGGGGGGGGGTCGGGGAACATCGAGAAAACACATATGGAACCCGTACCCCCCCCAACCCGAAATTCGGGTCTTCGGGTTGGGTTGGGGTGGTCTGGTAGGTAGTCAATGTAGACTCACGGGTCCGGTCGAGGCACTCGGCCACGCGCAGAAGAGGGGGGAGGCAGGGGGAGCGGGGACAGCTCCTCAGGTCAAGCAGTGGCGAAGCGTCCTGGCTCGCCTGTAGCCCTACCAAGCAATGTTCTAAGAACCTTTTGTGGCTTCCACGGAATGTTCTTACGTAGAACATTTCTGGTTGAGACCGTCTTGTTTTAACACATCGGGTTCATGTTCTAAGAGCATTGTTTTTGTTCATGCAGCGTTTTTGGGTTCTAAGAACACTTCGTGGTAGGACTATAGAAATGCCGGGACGGCCGGTCCCTGCTCAATCAGGAGCACCCTTGCGTCTGGAAAGGCCCAGGCCTCCTCGGCAGATGTGGGGCTCGCGCTCTCCAAGGAATGGCCTCTCCTCCTCCGGAGCCTTCGCCCCTCTCCCCGCGGCAGGCTCATGTCGTGTCGACCGGCGGCGACCCCGCCAGCGGCGCGCAACGTTGACCAGGTGTGGACAGACCTCCTACCCTGACACGTCGATTAAGGAATTGGCCGTTTTCGGTTCGCGAGAGGGCGTCGCGGCCGTCAGTTTCGCGGGTCCAGGTCCGGCGGATTCGGTCCCAGGCCGTTTTCACTGAGGGGAGGTTTATTAAAGGGAGGTTTGTCCACCGCCGAGTTGAACGCCGCGGGCGACCCAGAGTCGTTGGACGTGGAACGGTGTGGACGTTTCGGAAAAGGCCGATCGCCGTTCTCACTGAGGGGAGGTTGATTCAAGGGAGGTTTGTCCACCGCCGAGTTGAACGCCGCGGGCGACCCAGAGTCGTTGGACGTGGAACGGTGTGGACGTTTCGGAAAAGGCCGATCGCCGTTCTCACTGAGGGGAGGTTTATTAAAGGGAGGTTTGTCCACCGCCGAGTTGAACGCCGCGGGCGACCCGGAGTCGTTGGACGTGGAACGGTGTGGACGTTTCGG